AAAGTAATATCTAGGGGTAGTAATTCGATCTCTAAGTATTAAAAATATTTTTTTTCCCAAATCATAAAGATCACTTAGATTAAGAGTGACAGTTTTAAACTTGCAGTGCAAAGGTGAAACGGGAAAATAACAGGATGACACCGCTGGAGATTGTGAGTGTACTGGAGGTAATGTTGATACTACGCTACTGTCCCTTTGCTGGAGGGACTCTTCGTCTGCCTCCAGGTTAGTTGATCGCATTTAGTATATAATGGAAAGCCTGTGATTTAATAAACGTAGTATACTTGATTTAATTATCCCCTAAGACAACCGAAAGTTTTCGCACAAAGTCGTTAAATGAATAAAACGTACAATAATGATCAATTTCCTCCAATTTCAGAAACACTTGCTAATACATTGTGATGTTTAGTGTGACATAATTAATTTTTAATCGATTCAGGTGAAAATGGGAGTCCTTACTGGTCTGCTGGAGTTGTACTTGAAGTTGCCGGTCAGCCAGACTGTTCCTATATTGTCATTCATAACGACATGCAGCCATTCTTAACCGATTTCGTTGTAAGTATTGAATAATTTAAATATTTAATCAAATAATTTCTATGCAGTTATATAAGACTATTTGAGGAAATTTTAAGAATGTGATATTATAAGATTTGAAAAATTTTAAGATTTAAAACAAAAAAACATAATATAGAAATAGTTTTGGTCTCAGGTGCATGTTTATATCGAGCTGAGGTGAGTCACGTCTCTGGAAGATTGTATTTGTGAATGAGACAGCATGCATATAAATAAGAAAATGAGAGAGCATGCGTATAAATAAGAAAATGAGAGAGCATGCGTATAAATAAGAAAATGAGAGAGCATGCATAGAAATAAGAAAATGAGAGAGCATGCGTATAAATAAGAAAATGAGAGAGCATGCGTATAAATAAGAAAATGAGAGAGCATGCATAGAAATAAGAAAATGAGAGAGCATGCGTATAAATAAGAAAATGAGAGAGCATGCATATAAATAGAAAATGAAGAGCATGCGTATAAATAAGAAATGAGAGAGCATGCATAGAAATAAGAAAATGAGAGAGCATGCGTATAAATAAGAAAATGAGAGAGCATGCATAGAAATAAGAAAATGAGAGAGCATGTGTATAAATAAGAAAATGAGTAATAATTTTAATAAGGATTAATAATACATTAAACGATGAAATAATGATCAGTTGAGCGTTTTTTCTTTATTTTATCATAGTTTTAATAACGAGTCAGGACTAATAAAATACATGATTACAAGTAATTTTTATTATAATCATGGGGGAGCGCTAAACCCGTAGGATTATACAGCGCCTATGGGGGGGAGCGTTGGATGGAAGGTATTCAGACTCAATTCAGGGATTATTATTATAATCAAGGGGGAAGCGCTAAACCCGGAGGATTATACAGCGCCTGGGGGGGGGTGGAAGGCATTTAGGCTTAATTCGGGGAACTGAAGCACAGATCAATTCAGGGAACTGAAGCACATCCAGTTCCCTAGATAGAGCCCTTCACCAGTATCACAGAACCTTCCTTGAGGTGCACTGCAAGCAGAAGTCTTCCTCTGTTAGCCATGTGTGTCAGAAGGGGCGACAATAATGCTGTGAGCAACGGGCTATTCACCCCTTCTCCTTTATAAGTTTTACTCTCCTGTGTACAGGTTGTGTATAATATAAGTAAATAGCAAGGTGTCCACAAGGGTTTGTGAACTAACGCCACCTACGCTAGTATAGGTGGTGGAACTCGCAGAAGAATCGTGGAAAAACAGCTCCCTATGCGGCCTTCAGTAAACATGTGCTTGTAATCAAAAGCATTTTTAGGCAAGTGTTCATCTCAGCGACCCAGTGGTGTTTATTAGAGGCAGAAATGGCAATACTGATAACTGTGATTCAGTTATCAAGTGACAGGTACAGATGAACTAGGAGGATGTTCAAGAGATGCCTTCAGACGCGTGGTTACCAGTTGTAACATTACTTCCTAACTGTTCGTCTGAACATTTGGTGCCCTGGCTAGTGTTAGAAGATGGGATGAAATCTGATGACTGGAGAACATGCTTGACATTTCCCTTTTAACCAGTTGGTCTTTGGTTATAATGCAGGTAGTTACCACACTAGAAGATTAGACTGAAACCTGTATATGTTGCGAGGTGTGTGTGTGTGTGTGTGTGTGTGTGTGTGTGTGTGTGTGTGTGTGTGTGTGTGTGTGTGTGTGTGTGTGTGTGTGTGTGTGTGTGTTTGTGTGTGTGTTTGTGTGTGTGTACGTACTCACCTAGTTGTACTCACCTAGTTGAAGTTGCAGGGGTCGAGTCCAAGCTCCTGGCCCCGCCTCTTCACTGGTCACTACTAGGTCACTCTCCCTGAACCTTGAGTTTTATCATACCTCTGCTTAAAGCTATGCATGGATTCTGCCTCCACTACATCGCTTCCCAAACTGTGTGTGTGTGTGTGTAAAACGAGGTACGACAGTTCAGCTCACAGCGAATTTTGGTATATATTCTAGAGCTTTTACCGGCTGCTGTCTTCCTGGGGTATGGCACTGTTCAAGGTGGAAGCAGGCAGCCAGGAAGGCACTGTGATGCAAACACAGATCTCGCGTATTGTTGCACAAGCTCGGCAGGTAAGCCACTCTCACATTATCACTAAGGTGAGCAGTTTGACTGTTAAAAAATTAGAAGTATTTAATGGGTCAACGAAATGGGTCCCAATGTGTGTGTTTGACAAAGTTACACTGGTAATAAATTATCCCAGTAACAAATTACTACAGAGGTGGATACATAATTTTCACATTAAAACTGAAACATGTACGTCATTCACAATACTGAAGAGAGTAGTTCACATAACGTCAACCACACTGATGTCAACAGGTGCGGCAGATGTGGCAGTGTGTGACAGTGGTGGTGGTTACTGACGACGCGGCCTTCCTCGGAGCTTTCGCTGAGTGCTCCCTCAAAGGCCGCCTCTTGGTGTGGTCGACGAGGCTCTTAATCGTCTCCCGCCTGCCTCTTCCCGAGCTACAGCTTCTCCTCAATGGTAGTTGGACATTCTCCATGATGAATGTCATGTTGGTAGTGTTGAACGAGAGCTTGAGTCAACCCAGGTAAACAAGTTGACAATTCATAAAATAAATAATTCAGTACTATTATGTAGATAGCTTTGAAAATAATTGGGCGTAGTTCCTGATGCCATATGGGCCTCTAATATTTTGAATATAGAGTGCATAATAAATCTATCAAAACTTAAATAACATTTGTATTCATGCTGGACATGAAACTTGCTATCAAAAAGTTTCAGCGTGTATGTAAACTTGCCGTACAGTGTCTCCGGGGCCAAATTAGAGAGGACTGCGATTTGGACAACTAATCTAGGCCTTCATCTCTTTAACCATCATCTCTTCCCTGAAAAGTTCAATAAGTATATACATATCCAAGAGAATATCTCTTTACTTTAAACCATTAGTAGAAACATACTCTGTACTTGAATGTTTGATATATACGGCTAAGGAATACTTGGTATAATTAAGGCCTGTTCTTTTTTCACAATGATCTAATATAATTATGAAAATAAAAGTCGTATATTCTTTCAGCTTTCACGGAGCTACAGTAAACGTGACAGCCTTGTCTTATAGACCATACTGGAATGAAGATGAGGAACAGATGGGTGAGAACTCTGGTGTTACCAGGTACTCAGGCAGTGACGCCATGATGCTACGTACCATAGCTGACGCTCTAAACTTTACCTTTATTGTGCTACCTGTAAGCACTTGGGACCAGGTTTGTAGTCACCTTTGGCCAAGATGTTGACGCTGATGTTGTACTTTAGTGTTATTTTCACAATAATATTTGTATTCATATATCTGAACTGCAAATGTTTCGTACATTATTTGTATCGAAAGATTTCTTCTAAGTGTCCCATCAGTTTAGTTTCTTTACTAAATGTATTGCTATTGATATTCTGAAAAAAAAGATAATTCAAGAGGCTCTTAAATGAAGGATAATATTTTCATCATGTAACACAATATAATGACAAGTCGTATATTTTGAAAAAATTCGTGTACTCTTGCCAGGTCACAGGCTTGGTGATGGACAGGTCCTCTTTCATGGCTACTATATACCATATAGTACTGCCACAACGCTGTCTTCTATATGATTTTACATACATCTATACTCAAGTGTTGACCTCTTTCACAATGGCCACACCTTCACTCACTTCTAACTGGAACAGTCTCTTCGACCCTCTGGCTATCGAGGTTTGGGTGTCAATCTTAGTGGCCCTGCTTGTCATGCCTCCCTGTCTGTTTATGGTATGCAGCAGTACTGTTTGTGTTGCATTGATTTTTTTGATCGACCTATTCCTTTCATGTATATTATCATTTAGATATCGTTTCCTGAATTCAGATCACTCACCCGGGAGACAGAGCAGAATTAAATTATAAACTAACCATAGAAGACTCTGGCGAAATAGCCGTTGGAACGCTGCTTGGCCAGAGTACCAAGAAGCAACTCTCTGAAGCAGTTCGAGTCGGTTGTTGTTGGTAGACTTGGCTGGTGTTCGCCTTCATCGTGAGCAACGTCTACAGGGGCAACCTGACAGCCGCTCTCACCCTCCCCAAGTACCCACCCAGACCAGAGACACTGGAGCAGCTCATCAAAGTTGTTGATAAGTAATAATAAATAAATTTAATGCGACTGATTACATACACGTTTATATTCACCTGAGTTTTTTTTTTGTCAGCTGCTCTTTAGTCTTTAGTTTTGTAATTTTCAGCACATATTCGTAATATTTGAACTATGTTTGTTATTTAACGATGTTTGTACACACACACACACACACACACACACACCACACACACAGGGTATCCCATATGTCTACAACTATAAAGGAAAATGAAAAGAGAAGAGAATTAAGGACTTTTATTTATAGAGCACGTTCAAAAGGCCATCCCCTCCCCGATAATCACCATATCAAATTAGCATGTACACGGCGAATAGCAAGAACGATGGTGTTAAACACCCAATGGCTGCAGATTTACGGGATACTCTGTATGGTGTTGTTAAGTGGCAAGAACCTTCATGTTCCTCGTGTGGTGTAATCCGCAGGGTAACGATGCCTGATTACGGAGAAAATTTCCAACAGTTTTTTAAGGAGTCTGATTCCGTAGTTTATCAAAGACTCTCTAGCATCATGGAGATCGTCCCTTCTGCAGAGTACGGACTTCGCCAAGCGGCAGAGAAGAAGTAAGTATCTTTTTAGAGTGTCTGGTTTTATTGTTATTACTGATTATTAGCATTGTTTGTTAATATCAGAGAGCTTCTATTGGGCGGTAGGTGTGTTGCTAAACCTAACCTAATTTATAGGTTAGGTTTACCTACATAAACGTATTAAAACGCATCTTTAACCACAATTAATAACTGAAAATAAAGGGCCTCAGTAAATCTGTCAATTAGGTTTAAAAGAAAGTATAAGCTTGGATAACCTACTGCCCGCCCAATGGCGTCAGTAGTAGTATGATTATTATAAATATTGCTACAGTTGTTACTAATGTTTCTGCTACTAATAATAATAATCATGATATTAACAATGAAAAGAAAAATTCACAATACTGTGGTTGGAACAATTCACAAAAATCTCGCAATGGTCGAGGACGTATGTATCCGCCCTCGACCATTGCCAGGTCACAACTGAAGCAAGAAATAGTGCAAAAGGCCAATTAAGTGTTTTCTGGCCTTCTCTACTTTTTGTCGCCTCAGTTGTGACTTAACAATTGTCCAGGAGGGACCGAAACGTCGTCAATAGTGAACTACTTAAAATGTTAATTGCTACAACATTGCCATTTAAATGTTATTGAAGTGAAATAGTCATGTAAATTTTGTAAGTGTTTGTACCATGGTTCAGACAGGCTTACATGGACGGGTACAACTACCTGCAGCAGATGATCGCTGACTACTACACACAGGTGGATGGCAGCACTAAGCTTTACATCGGCAGGGAAAGCATCGTTCCTGGGCCGGGAGCCTGGCCCAATACCTCACGACGCTCCTTACAAACCACAGCTTGATAAATTAATCATGTATATTACCGAAGTAAGATGAATATAGTCACGCTCAATATTTATTAAATATATAATATAGAGTTTTCTTTTAAATTCCGAAATGGGAATAAAAGTATAATTAAGCTAATGAAAATTATCGACAGTCATGTATAATTGTCATGAAATGCTCCATATTATTGACAGATTGGTTTAAAAGCATGACTCTTGCAATACTCTGCAAAATGCAAAAAAAAAAAAAATTAGTTTTTTCTTTAACATGGGGTTCTACAAGGTCAGGTTTAGAGTTCCTAATTTTATTTACAAGCTAAGAGGTGTTACTACATCAGCTCATTTGAAAACATTTTTATTGTGAGATATAGAGATAAGGAACAAGATGAAGTTGGAGCCATCTCTCTCTCTCTCTCTCTCTCTCTCTCTCTCTCTCTCGAACACAATATATGATTAATTTTTCCTATCATACATGACAATGAAATTTTTTTCTCTATTTTAAAAAATATAACTAGACACATCCAAAATATTTGATCTTTTTCAGGCTGGATTATACGAAAAATGGATTAATGACATGATTGTGAAGGCCAAGGAAGACAGTCGCAGGAGACAGCGTAAGCAGTTGGAGACAGGACTGATGGTGATCACCCAGAGCTCACCAGGAACGAGGGAGAATAAACCCCTTACACTACTCCACATGCAAGGTCCAATTATGCTCGTTGCTCTGGGTCTATCTTCGTCTATGATTGTGTTTGTAACTGAATTGTTGTTAAAATTATGCAAGACAGGAACTGCTCAGTAAATTGAAACTCGAAATTTGGATTATCTTGAGATGTAAAGGATTGAGAAGCGAAAATTAACCCCTTTTAAGGGTTTAACTATATAATTACACATGTACTGGAGTTGCATAATCAATCTCAACGGTGCTAAATTACTAATAGGTGGTTAACATAACACACAAGAAGAAATTGGACAATATGCTATGCTAAGATACCAAAATTTTAATACTTTGAACGCGAATGTCGAGTCGATATTGAACACTTTTCTGAATGACAAATAGTTTAGAGGTCAATGGCTAACATGGTCGAGGTCATGATGACTGTCATGTGAGCTTCGTTTCTATGAAGAAGTATTTACAGGTAGTCATGCTGCAATCACTCTTTTACTTATGTTGTACAGTAAAGTTCCCAAGATGTATACGCACATTTAAGATTTCTTCTAGTGTTAATCAGATTACCAGTAAGCTGCTCCTGTTATATCGTACTATACAGCCAACACCTTCACCACTTTCTGCTGTAATTAGATACATGGTTGCTCTGCACCAGTCAAATGATTGGTTTGCCGTAATTTTTCTCAAACGAATAAGTTGTCATTAAAAGTGTACGAGATGACATAAAATCAATGAGTAGATAATATGAACAAGACGTGTGTGTGTGTGTGTGTGTGTGTTTGTGTGTGTGTGTGTGTGGTGTGTGTGTGTGTGTGTGTGTGTTATGTGTATGTTATGTTGTGTGTTGTATTATGTGATATTTGTATATGTATGTTGTTATATATGATTTATTGTTATATGATTATTATATACATATATCTTATTATACTGTGTATGTATGATATATAATTATTATATAGTATATATATATATTATGTTATTATTATAGTATATAGTTAGTATTTTTATATATTAGTATTAGTGTAGTTAGTTACATATTAGTACGTGTATATTGTTTGTGATATTATATATGTTAGTATATATTTATATTATATGATATATTTGATTATTGTAATATAGTATTGATTTTATATAGTATAGTATATGTATATATGATATATTAATATATAGTATATATATATTATAGTGTGCCGAATATGTAAATATGTCAATTGCAAGAACTCATTAAAATTAAGTCCTATCAAATTTTCTTTACGTTTAAAGATATATTTTTTTCATTAATGTTAATGTAAAATATTTAATTTTGCACAAAAAATCTTAGAAACTTACCTAATTATTATAAATGAACAATTTATTTGGCTAACCCACTAAATATATTTAGATTTGTTACAATAATTTATACTAACAAACACGGTGAAATATATTTTATTTCGTTAGTTCAATGATTTTGGCGAAATTATGCATGCACAAATTTCACTTGTCTTATATGCAGATGAGCGTTGCTATTTAACCAATATCGCAAGTTCTGTTATTCGGCAGACATATATATATATATATATATATATATAGATATTATATTATATCTAATCAGAGTTTGAATTCCTCATGAAAATCGATCGAGATTGTAAAAATTAAGTATTAATACACAAATAAATTTAATTATCATCGATGAGATTTATTCTGCGCGTGCGCGTGTTCTCTCCCGCCTATAAATCTCAGACGCTTATTGGATTCAGTAGTTTGGTGATTGTCACAGGCCAATTCGGGGTATTTTGCACTGTACCTAAGGTAAGCTAATGTACCATATGTTTTAAATGTCTGAGTACAATAGATATCATACGCTTATTGTGCATATATGTATTAAATATTATATATATATATATATATATATATATATATATATATATATATATATATATATATATATATATATATATATTATATATATATATATATATATATTTATATATATATATATATATGTATATATATATATATATATATATATATATATATATATATATATATATATATATATATATATATATATATATATTATATATATACATACAAAGTGCGAAGGGAAGTTTAGGTAAATAGAAGGTTGGAGACATTGAAAATATCTGAGATATAGAATAAACAGTAATTATCGTATAAATTAGAGGATGGTTATGCACAGTGAAAGGATTAATTTAGAGATGGAGGGTTTGTTGAGATGATTCAGGTATCAGCAAACTGTGTGAAAACTAATATAATATATATATATATATATATATATATATATATATATATATATAATATATATATATATATATATATATATATAATATATATATATATATATATATATATATATATATATATATATATATATATATATATATATATATATATATATATATATAATGAAAAACAACCACTCTGAAAAACTAGAGAAATTCCAAGCGCTTTCGTGACTACTCACATTATCAAGGAACTATCATAGTTCCTTGATAATGTGAGTAGTCACGAAAGCGCTTGGAATTTCTCTATTTTTTCAGAGTGGTTGTTTTGCATATTCCGAAATCACCTGTTTACTGTGATCTTATTGCATATATATATATATATACGTATATATACGTATACTATAGTGAATGGATGGTTAAGAAAGCCGCAAGAAAGCCGTAAGAAAGGTTGAAAGGAGGGCGTGGAGGAGGTCTTGAGAGTTTGAGGATTAAGGATATTGTAGACATGTGTGGTCATTTTACTATTATCATTAAGACATTCACAAGGAAGCTCTTAGCCCCGATATGTCACATATCTCCAGTGAACATGCTGGGTAGGTAGGATTTAACGTTCTGTCGGAATGTGAGCAAGTTAAAAATTTATGAATTTATCAAAGAAACAGGTTGGGTGGACCGGAGATCAGGTGGTGGGAAGTACAGTGCCAGCACTCTGAAAGACGGGTAGGGAGATTGAATTCCGAAGGGTCGTTTTAACCGTGGTGCTCGTGCACTTGCAAGGTAGCTATTGAATGAGTGATGGCTAATGTGTTTCACTTCTTGTTTATAGTTACACGAACTAAATCAGATATGCATTACGGTTAACCAAGAATATTGAATTATCTCCATGAAAAGTTTTGAAGGTACTTGCGAAATAACTATGAAGATTACAATACATTAAAACTTAGATATCGTGGTGCACTAAGATAAAAGTAACGTTTTGGTTAATATTTCGTAAAATATAATAAATATTATAGTGTCTGTGTTTTATTTGTTCCTACTTTTTCATGCAAATGCATGTGATACCTGGGTTCATAATCCCAATCTGTAAAGTAAGTCTGTAGCCCTCGGCTCACAACCAGGGGATCGGGTGTTTCCTTACGTATGATGCCCTCGCTCGTTCACCTCACAGGTGATCTTGTTGTCACTCTGGTGTCGTGAGTAGCCTCCTCGAGAGTGGTAGCATACCTTTCAAAGGGCTGGGTTTTGAGCTGAGCTTTGCTACGATAACTTTTAGTCTGCCAGTTCAACGGCCTGAAAAATATGATGCGTTTATTAGCGCACTAGAGAATTCATGATCAAAAAAAAAAATATTTCATGTTAGCATTTTCATAATAAGTCTTATGTCCCTTTAAAATAATGGAAACAAAATTTAAATAGATTTAATAATTCTGTATCAGCATAGCACCAACCTGTTGTTATTTAAGCAATTCTGTTTTTAATTGTATTGAAAATATTGTAGAAAGCATGATAAAAAAATTACACAAGGAACAATATTTAACATTTATTTTAAGACAGTAACGTAAACATAATTAAATTTAAATGCGATGTCTTATTCATTATGATTCTATTTGACAGCCATCTTGATGAGGAGATCCCTAAACCATCAGTTGGTGGCAGCTTACCGTGCTAAAATCGTGTGGATGTGGTTATGTGGAATGCCAGCGAGAGAAATCTATCTAAAAATCGGAGTCAGCCTTGGTACAGTATACAGGTGGATCAGACGATGGAGGAGGGAAGGCACGTTGGAGAGACGGCCTTACCGCGCTGGGACCACTCCCTGGGAAGGAGATGCAGGCTGCGTCACAGCCTTCCAGACACAATCAATGACCACCCCTATCTGTGATTTAAACTCCCTTCACACTTACTATAATGCCACATCAGTAAACTGCTCCCCTTGGGAAAGTCAGAGCTAGATACATTGTACGTGTATTGTAAGATGTAATCAAATTTGACTTTAACACCAAGACACAGAAGACCACTGATGCATTCTTTACGTATAAAAAGGCACGTTCTTGCTTTTATTTCTTCTGCTTTTGTCACTGCCTTTTTTTCAGTAAAAACTGATATTCAGTGAACATATCTCTTAACGAGGAAATAATATCAGTCATTACTGAAAAACAAGATTTTACGATAGAAACTAACATGCTATAAGGTAAATTTCTAGAGAAAGGAAATTGTGTTAATTTGGTTATTTAACTAACAAAGCCTCCGATATTTCCTCTGATAAAACGTTTCATCCTGTTTCATTTATACTGTAAGAATGAACTTCAGTAAAGGCTTTCTGTACATTGGTGTAATCTGTACAAAATAAGTAGAAAATATTTAGTAATTCTCTAACAGTAGATTCGAAGACTGTATTTCCTTTTTCAAGGATCGTTTTTAACCTTCAAGAAAATAAATTACCTCACAGATGATAAACAACCAGTATATAAGTGACTGAAACTTTATTACGACGTTTCGGTCCGACTTAGACCGACTTACTCACCCAACCCTTTTATAAGATTCTAACTCTTGAGTGCGGGTAGTGTGTGTTCTTTCAATCACGGTATTGTGACTAACAGATACACAAACTCAATTAAAAAACACGAATATAGGCAAACTGCGGCTTTCCATTGATAAATTATGTAAAGATCCACTGGCTTTTATACTTTCACAACAAACTATTATAAGAACAATAAAATATCTTCTATAAAATTGTTTTAATTATATATATATAATAATATATATATATATATATATATATATATATAATATATATATATATATATATATATATATATATATATATATATATTGTTTGTTTGTATAATTATATATAGGGAAGTACCACCTCTATAGCTGGAATGGGGACCCTCATCCTCAGAGAAGACAATAAACGTACCTCAGGGAAAACTCAAGGTTCTCCCCGGAGCTGTTTGAATATTTTCTTCTCCTACCCCCTCCCCATATATTTTATATTCTATGTGAACATTTATTGATAAACAGAATACATGTGCAGAAAAACACAAACATGAATACAATGGTACAATGTATTAAAGATCATGAATTTCCTCCAGCTCCTCCGAAGCCGGACACGAGCCAAGTATGCAGCAAGCATTTCCCCGCTGGATGGATACGCTGAAGCGCTGGAACATGAAAGTGGCTGCCCTTGGGTTCCTGGTGGTGTCGATGAGTCTGGAACCCAATTCTTTGAGGAAACGTGTGGCATTTTTTCCCCATGATCCCAAGGTCTCTGATCCCACTGGGACAAATTGATACTGTTGGCTTATGTCCCTGTACTTGCTGATCTTGTACTCCTCCCTGTGGTTAGCAGCTCTTCCCTGTCGCCCAACACTGTGATGGATATAGGTGTCAGCCAGTGTGGACACACAGGTATAGTCCCATGCTAAGAGCTTGCCATTCTTCCAAGGATAGATGGTGATCCTGTCGGGACGGTTTGCTGGGTTGTGGGTATTGTTGGCTGCTAGTGATCGGGGCTCCCTCTCGGCTGGGCATCCAGCTGTAGCAGGGGTTCTCTTTATGATGTTGACCTCATTGTGTCTTGCATGCCAGCCCTTGGTTTTGGAACAGTTAAGATCATGTAGACCGTATTGGTCTGCTTGCGCTTCACCGCAAATACACATATATTCTGTGTGAATTGGGGCAGCAAGGCGCGGAGCCACTGCAATACAGAGGGTCTATATATATATATATATATATATATATATATATATATATATATATTTTATATATATATATAATATATATATATATATATATATATATATATATATATATATAATATATATGCAATAAGACACAGTAAACAGGTGATTCAGAATATGCAAAACAGCACTCTGAAAGAATAGAGAAATTCCAAGCGCTTGGAATTTCTCTATTCTTTCAGAGTGGTTGTTTTGCATATATTCATATATATATATATATATATATATTATATATATATATATAATAATATAATATATAAAATATATATATATATATATAATATATATATATATATTTTGTATATGAAATAATATGAGACAGAATTTAGAGGATTACCCACCATAAAGAAAGATTATATGATTTTGCAGTCCCTGCACTTTGAAGGGGAAGGGTGATGCTGCATTTCGGGGGGCCATCTGAAATGCAATGTTAGCACGCTTCTGCCAAGACAGTGAATGAATGACGGTGAAAGTATTTCTTCTTTCTCTGGTGATCCTACCTTGGTGAGAGATAGCTGGTGCGTAAAGAAGAAAACATTCTCTTTCAGAGAAAAGCTGAAGAGGTGAAATAAGATGACACTAAAGACAGTGAGTATTGTAGAAGTATTGTTGACGCTACACTGCTGTCTTGGTGCTGGAGGGGCCCTGCGTCTTCCTCCAGGTTAGTTAACCGCGTCTTCCTCCAGGTTAGTTGACCGCGTCTGGTGTATACTGAAGAAGTCTTGATATCATTTTCACCAAATTCGAAGTCTCCCCACACGAAAAAAAAATCTCTGAAGGAATGGGATAACTTCTAACAGTGGGATGTTTCGTGTAACATGAGCATTTGATTTTTAATGGATTCAGGAGAAAACGGAAAGGTCTTGAATCCTTCCTGGACGGCTGGAGTTGTATTGGAAGCTGCCTTCCAGCCTCGCTGCTCCACTATTTTCATCCATGACGAAGATGTACTCTGGACAGATTTTATTGTAAGTATCAGTACAACTTTCAATATATTTAACATAATTTCTATCCAACTTTGAAAGTTAAATTAAGGGCAGAGAAAACTTTAATATGATAAATGAGAAGCATGAAAGACTGAAATTTGTCAGGTCCGTAGGATAGAGAGAAAGAGAGGGAGACGGGGGGGGGGGGGAAATTCAAATTTAAGAAAGTTAAGTCCCTTGGAGAAGTCATGCGACTGGCAAAACTGGCATATTATTGGAAAAATGACAAATATTATTAGATGATTGAAGACAAATCAATTACGATCAACTTACTGGGTATCGAGTAAGAACTTTAATCTTTTCAACGTCTCTTCCAGTAAGAATTAAACACCTTGCACGATATTAATAATTGCTATACTACCACTAATGTAAAATAAAAGCCAAATGTAAAAAAAAAAAGTAAAATAATGTAAAAATAAATAATGTGATAATTATAAGTTGAATAAATGACAATGTGACATAAGAGTGGGTCCCACTCATATGTCACACATATCAGTGGGGCCAGTTGTCTTTACTACAGACAGACGCGATAATGCTGTCTGCTACATTGTAATTACGGAAGTTACTTAAATAAAATTGACGGTAGTGGATGAAGTGTATGATGTTAGAGATACCTCAAGACATTTAGCTGTTGGTATTACTATCAGGTCGCATGAGTGGTTGTCGAAACACCTGTTGCTCCATCGGGTATTCGTACACAGGATATTATGAATACATGTTTCCGATCATTTTCTGTTAACTTGTTGCAGAGTTTTAATTCAGGAACTACCCATACAGGAATTTTAGACTAAATCCTATAATATGCTGAAAGAGTATAAGGATCGTTAATAATTTAGGGTCTGAGGGCTTTCGATTATAGTTTTTGCACGATGTTCATTTGAAGTAAGACCTCAATGTATTGATGTTAAATAATCCAGAGCTTTATGCAGCCAGTGTCTCCCTGGGGTACGGCAGTGTTCAAGGTGACAGCAAACAACCAGGATGCTAATATGACTATGTCACAGCTCTCACTTGTGATTGCAAAGGCTCGACAGGTACGCCACTCGCCTTGCTTTTCTGGGAAGAGTACACCACTACTGAGGTGGGTATATCATTTTCATATTACTACCGAGATGAGTATGACATCCTCACAGCAATAAAGAATGGGTGGTTCACATAACGTCTACCATACTGACGTCAACAGCTGCGGCAGGTGTGGGGGTGCGTGACGGTGGTGGTGGTCAGTGACAATACAACCTTACTCGCAGCCTTTGCTGAGTACTCCCTCAAGGGCCGCCTCCTGGTGTGGTCAACGAGGCTTTTAGCAATCACTCACCTGCCCCTCTCGCAGCTGAGAATAATCCTTAGTAGCTACTGGACATTCTCCATGATGAATGCGATGTTGGTGGTTCTGAATGAGAGGGTCAGTAAACCCAGGTAAATATATCTTCAGTTGTGTGAGGATCAGATACTTTAGTGTTTATCTAATATATTGGAAAGGAAAACAGTCTCATTTATGTAACACAACTCCTAATTCATGTAGATATTTTCTATTCATACAAGTTTTTTTACTGGAATGATTTCTTCTATTCACAGTGAGTCACAATTTTGTTCTCCCTTACCCATTTGATCATAGACTCGTGTGCTCAATAAACATTTTTAATGTTGCATGTGTCTCTTATCAACTTAAAGGTATTTTATACCAATTTTAGTATATTAGATGAGTTCTAGTTGTTCCTTTGTCAAGGGAAATCCTCCTGATAATGGATATCTTTGTTTTGATTGGAATATCCGTTTGTGTTTTGGAATCTCTCCTACCATTACTTCCAACAGTGGCTTCAGAACTATGGGAATGAAAAGCAGGCGAATAAAAGTATAGCAAATCTCCCTTCATTACTGTTAGGAGAAATTTATTAACCACATAGTTCAATATAACTGTTACTTGCTTAAGTCTCAAAATAATTGAGATCCAAACCCTAGACCCATTACATTTAAAATCTTTTGACTAAAGCCGACAGAATGAGCATGGCTTACATAATAAGCAATCAAACTAAAATTAAGAATTGCTAGTCCCATCAGAGGTACATTTCTACAAGCCAGTGTCTCAAAGAACACATTAAAGATCACATATTAAATGATCAATATATTTTCTCCAAATTGGCATAAAGAACTTTTTTCGTATACGATTAAGTAATCCCAATTTAAGTTTCAGCGTATACGTAAACTTGCCATACAGCGTCTCCGGAGCCATAATAGTGAAAACAGCGATTTGGACAACCGATACGGGCCTTCAAATCCTTAACCAACATCTTTTTCCAGAAAAATTTAATAAGTATGTACATATCTAAGAGATGTATCTTTTTATTGACAACAGTTTTTTCAGAACATATTTTGCATTTGAATTATTATGAACAATTAAGAGATTTTTTTATATTAAGACCTGTGATTTATTTACGATGATATTCAATTTGTGTAGAAAAAACCCAGGTATTCCTTCAGCTTTTACAGAGCTACAATAAACGTGACAGCTCTGCCCTATAGACCATACTGGAATGAAGACAAGGAACAGAGTGGTGATAACACTGGTGTTACCAGGTACTCTGGTAGTGACGCAATGATGCTATGGGTCATAGCTGACGTTCTGAACTTTACGTTCAGTGTGCTACCTGTAAGCACCTGGGACCAGGTTTGTAACCACACCTGTACCTGTCTATAACCACATAGTCCAGGTTTCTTAATGCTGTAGTTGTGCTTTATTCTTTTCAGTGAACGTGCCTTTTTATTCGCTGTAACACACGCACACACACACACACACACACACACACACACACACACACACACACACACACACACACACACACACACACACACACACACACACACACACACACACACGCACACACGCACACACACACACATACACACAAACACACACAAACACACACAAATACACACGCACACACGCACGCACACACACACACAAACAAACACACAAAACACCCCACACACACACACACACACACACACACACCACACAACACACAAACAAACACACACGCACAAAACGCACACACACCACAACACACATACACACACACATACACACACACATACACACACACATACACACACACCTCATGCATCAACATGTTAGAGACACTACCAGAGAGAGAGGAGAGGATGAACCGCAAGGTTGGACCTTGTATTCACCATGAGTAGTTCGGACATCGAGGGTATCATGTATAAAAGGGCCCCTGGGAGCTAGTGATCATGTGGTTCTGTGCTTCGACTACATAGTTGAGCTCCAAGTGGAGAGAGTAGCAGGAATAGGCTGGAAAAAAAAAACCAAACTACAAAAGGGGGAACAAACTCAGGCATGAGGAACTTCCTTCAAGACATTCAGTGGGAGAGGGAACTGACAGGAAAACCAGTACAAGAAATGATGACTATGTAGCAACAAAATGCAAGGAGGCAGAGGAGAGGTTTTGTTCCCAAGGGAAACAAAATAATGGGAAGAACAGAACGAGTCCTTGGTTCACCCAAAGGTGTAGGGAGGCAAAAACTAGGTGTAATAGAGAATGGAAAAGGTACAGAAGAAAAGAGAACTCAGGAAAAATAAAGAAATCAGCCGAAGAGCCAGAAACGAAAAATGCACAGATAAGAAGGGAGGCTCAGAGACAATATGAAAATGACATAGCATCAAAAGTAAAGACTGACCCGAAGCTGTTGTACAGCCACATCAGGAGGAAAACAACAGTCAAGGACCAGGAAATTTCAACTGAGGAAGGGTGATGGGGAATTCACAAGAAACGACCGAGAGGTATGTCAGGAGCTCAACACAAGATTTAAAGAGGTATTTACAGTGGAAACCAGTAGGACTCCAAAAGAATCAGAACAGGGGGCACACCAGCAAGTGCTGGATGGGGTACATATAAACCAAGGAGGAGGTGAAGAAGCTGCTATGGAACTTGACACCTCAAAGGCGGTGGGACCAGACAACATCTCTCCAGGGGTTCCTTAAAGAGGGAGCAGAGATATTGTGTGAGCCATTAAAAAAGATCTTCAACACATCATTTGAAACTGGGCAACTCCCTTTAGGTATGGAAAATGGCAAATGTAGTCCCAATTTTTAAAAAGGGAGACAGACATGAGGCACTAAACTACAGACCGTATCTCTAACGTGTATAGTATGCAAGGTCATGGAGAAGATCATCAGGAGGAGAGTGGTGGGGCACCTGGAAAGAAACAAGTGTATAAAATTGACAACCAGCACGGTTTCAGGGAAGGAAAATCCTGTGTCACAAACCTACTAGAGTTTTATGACAAGGTTGACAGAAGTAAGACAAGAGAGAGAGGGGTGGATCGACTGCGTATTTTTGGACTGCAAAAGGCTTTCGACACAGTTCCTCACAAGAGGTTACTGCAAAAGCTAGAGGACCAGGCACACATAACAGGAAAGGCACTGCAATGGATCAGAGAATATCTGACAGGGAGGAAACAACGAGTCATGGTACGCGACGAGGTGTCAGAGTGGGCGCCTGTGACAAGCGGGGTTCCACAGGGGTCAGTCCTAGGACTGTGCTGTTCTTGGTATACGTGAACGACATAACGGAAGGTTAGACTCAGAAGTGTCCTTGTTTGCAGACGATGTGAAGTTAATGAGAAGAATCGAATCGGACGAGGATCAGGCAGGACTACAAAGAGATCTGGACAGGCTACAAGCCTGGTCCAGCAACTGGCTCCTAGAATTTAAACCCTGCCAAAGCAAAGTCATGAAGATTGGGGAAGGGCAAAGAAGACCGCAGACACAATATAGTTTAGATGGCCAAAGACTGCAAACCTCACTAAAGGAAAAAGATCTGGGGTGAGTATAACACCGAGCATATCTCCTGAGGCGCACATCAATCAGATAACTCTGCAAGCATACGGGCGCCTGGCAAACCTACGGATAGCGTTCCGATACCTCAGTAAGGATTCGATTTAAGACTCTGTACACATCTACGTCAGGCCCATACTGGAGTATGCAGCACCAGTTTGGAATCCACACCTAGTCAAGCACGTCCAAGAAATTAGAGAAAGTGCAAAGGTTGCAACAAGACTAGTCCAGAGCTACGGGATTGTTCCTATGAAGAAAGGTTGAGGGAAATCGCCTGAACGACACTGGAGAGCCAGGAGGGTCAGGGGAGACATGATAACGACATATAAAATACTGCGCGGAATAGACGAGGTGACAAAGACGGGATGTTCCAGAGATGGGACACAGACACAAGAGGTCACAATTGGAAGTTGAAGACTCAGATGAATCAAAGGGATGTTAAGGAAGTATTTCTTCAGTCATAGAGTAGTCAGGCCATGGAATAGCCTAGAAAGTGATGTGGTGGAGGCAGGAACCATACATAGTTTTAGGCGAGGTATGATAGAGCTCATGGGGCAGGAAGAGAGGACCTAGTAGCAATCAGCGAAGAGGCGGGGCCAGGAGCTGTGACTCGACCCCTGCAACCAACAAATAGGTGAGTACAAATAGGTGAGAACATACACACACACACTACACACACACATACACACACAACATACACACACACATACACACACACACACACAACATAATATATATATAATATATATATATATAATATATATATATATATAATATATATAACATATATATATATATATAATAATAATATATATATAATAAATAATAATATATATATAAAATATAATATATTTAACCCGAAATAATGATTACAATGATAAATGCTTTTCACACTCATTATATTGGAGAACTTTCGTCACTGTGCCTTAAATTTTAGTCTCATATTAATTGTATTACCATATATCCTGAAATAAACTTAAGGGTAAAATTTTCATGAATAATGAAAAATTTACTTATTTTCAAAATTTTCGTGTTGGTCGCTTCCAGGTCACAAACTTGGTGATGGAAAGAACGTCTTTCATGGCTACTGTATACTATATAGTACTGCCACTACGCACCCTTCTGTATGATTTTACATATATTTACACGCAGATTTCGACTAGTTTCTCAATGCCCACACCTTCACTCACTACTAACTGGGAAAGTCTCTTCGTCCCTCTAGCAGTCGAGGTTTGGGTGTCAGTCATGGTGGTGCTGTTTCTGGTGCCCCCTTGTCTGTTTATGGTAAGTAACAGTACCGTTTGTACATGAAGGGGACTGTTGCCGTGTCCTTTAGGCACATAGTTAAGAGATCTGAATCGTCATATGTTCAGTTTATCAGAAAGAAACCACAGTTGGGCGAGTTTCCTAGAAATAACCATTTCATTATTCCACATTAACTTTCATTGCCTTAACCATTAAATTAATGTCGCTGATGGAGACAGGGAACAAAACATTTAGTAGATGAAGAAACTTCATTAGTGTCTAAAGAATCACAGCTTAAACATAAAACAACTTTCCAGATAAGGAGAAAGATTAAACCTGTTTTTCAACAGTCTTCAAATCTCTTCCTTTTAAAAGGTTTATAATTCTCCTTATGTTATGAGTGACTGAATATAACCGGATTGATTGTTAAGAAGTACATTGTACGGCATTCTTTACAATTAAGGTGAAAAAAATATATAAATGTTGAGACGTCTCGCATGTTTACAATCACTTGTATAATTCACTTTAATTACGTATAATAAATCTGGGGATTTTTAGATTAATTTACCTAAAAAAATCGAACTAGAATATAAAATTTTAAATTCACCAGTGTCGTAAAGTTAAATATCAAAAGAGAAATGGGAAAATAGTTGGCACAGCTTTTCAGAATTTTCACGGATCCTTCAGATTAAATCAGGAGAGAAACTTAAACACGGAAACTCTATAATGGTGGTACTTACGCTGCCTAGTCGAATTCGAACCCTCCTGCAAAAAAGGCAAACCACTGATGAACCTTTGATGCCAATAGGAAAAGACTTTAAGTTATATCACAAAAACCACAGAAGAAGAATATAATAATCCACCAAGTATTCCCATTCGGGGGATTAGAAGTAAATAAAACCTTTCACTTTTAATTTTCAACAAAGGTTAAAACTGTTCTTGTAAAACTCTAAAGCAAATATTATCGACTAGTCTTGAATTAAACATTTTAAGAGCACAGTCTTTTTTCTGTGTCAGATCACTCGCCCGGAAGTCGGAGAAGAATTAAAGCACAAACTGACAATAGGAGACTCAACTGAAATAGCAGTTGGAACGCTGCTTGGTCAGGGTACCAAGAAGCAACTACCTGAGAGCATCTCGGGTCAGTTACTGCTGGTGACTTGGCTGGTGTTCGCTTTCATCGTGAGCAACGTCTACAGGGGCAACCTGACAGCCGCTCTCACCCTTCCCAAGTACCCACCCAGACCAGAGACACTAGAGCAGCTCATCAAAGTTGTTGATAAGTAATGATAATCTCATGTGACTGATTATAGATATTTTATATATCTCTGTGTTATCTTTTCTGATATTATAGTCCTCAGTGCTGACATTTCAAGAATATATTTGTAACAATGAAACTATTTTACTTTGCTTAATAAACACTAAATGTATTCAAACACATACCTACAAACATTGCATATAACTACATACGTATACACATAATTTGATTACTAAATATATACGTATATGATAAATGATATACTTATGCAACATATGGATATCTTTATTCTGGAAATGTTTCTCCAGCCAGTGGCTTCTTCAGTCCAGTGCAGAGAAAAGTGAAGATAAGGAGTTTGAGGTAATCAGTCCCTCAGTCTGGAGTAAACGAGTTCAGTCTATCAAGACTGATGAGGTAAACACATCGACTCCAGGCGGCTGAGAGACTGATTAACTCAAACTTATCTTCCACTTTCTCCGCATTGGACTGTAGAAGCCACTGGCTGGTTAAACGTTCCCAGAATAAAGACTCACAAATGTTGCACAAGTCTCATTTATCAACTTGTTGTTTATTTAAACCATTTATTTAGTGTTGGTGAAGACTGCTTAACTTTGATGTTCCTCGTATTGTTCACTCCACAGGGTCATGATGCCAACTTACGGGGAAAGTTTTAAACAATTCTTTAAGCAGTCAGATTCCGTAGTGTATCAGACACTCGCAGACATCATGGAGGTCGTCCCTTCTGCTGAGTATTGCCTACGCCAAGCAGTAGAAAAGAAGTATGTGTATATCTCTAAAGTATTTTTAGGTTTTCCATTTTTATTATTATTGTTGTTATAAGTAGTAGTAGTAGTACTATTACTGCTGCTCCTTGTCCATCTACATTATATATAAATATATCAATAACAACACTGGGACTGGCCAAGGACTCGAACCCGTGTCGTTTTAGCCCGCCTCATGGCTAGTCACTGTCATTGATTAAATACCACTGGCTCGTGGTTACAATAATATATAATACTGCTAGTGGAGGCTAGTACACCAAACGGGGAGTAGAATGAAATTAGCTCTGAGGCACCCACACCACCGTATGTCCTCGTATGACGGTAAAACACCTAGCTCTGCTGGGTGCGTTATCTTTGTAGGATTGGGTCGTCCCGTGGGTTAGTATCGTGAATTTTCTCTCGCCATGAGGCGGGGTAAAACGACACAGGTTAGTCCTCGAACCCGTGTGTGTCACTATACCACTTTCAGGCTTTTATTATATAAATGTTATTAAAGAAGAAAGTTGTGAAAAAATTTAAGTGCTTGTGATATGACTCAGAGAGGGCTGCATGGACGACTACCGCTACCTCCAGCAGTTGATAGCTGACAACTTCACACTTGTGGACGGCAGCACCAAGATTTACATCGGCAGGGAGAGAATCATGCTGGCGCCCGGAGCCTGGCCCATACCCCACGACGCACCTTACAAGCCTCAGCTCGACATATTAATGATTCATATTAATGAGGTAAGATGAGCACTGGCGACCCTAAATCTTTATTAAAACGGTGGAAGTGTTAAAAGAAAAGAAATCTTTATTTGTGAGATGCTGCAAATTATTGACAGTTATATGTTACTGTATTCATCAAATGCTCCAATTTACTGAGAGACAAACACACACTCGTATCTGTCATTGAAAGTGTGATCACTGTATGGTTTAAGAGCATGACATTTTAATGTTTGGAAAACAAGAATACCGACAAATTACAAGGTCGGTTGGTATCTCTCTCTCTCTTTCTCTCTTTTGATTCCAGTGATAGGCTCTTGACCGCAGAGCTTACACGTAATAATGGACAATTATCGTCATATAAGAAAAGAACAACATCATAAGTGTTGAGTAAACTTTCTAGATGTATACAAAAGAATAAGAACATTTTGTATCTTTCAGGCTGGATTATACGAGAAATGGATCAATGATATAATTCTAAAGGCCCAAGACGACAGTCGAAAACGACAACGTGAGGAGCAGGAAAAAGAACACGAGATGGCTGCCCAGAGTACTCCAGAGACCAGCGAGAACCAGGCTCTGACACTCCGCCATATGCAAGGCCCCTTAATGATCGTCGCCTTGGGCCTTTCTTTGTCTATGATTGTGTTTATGACAGAGTTAATGCTAGAATTATACAGGAAAGGGACTGCCTAACAAGTTGAAAGTTGAAGTTTTTTCATCTGATGGAAGGAATCATACTCACAGGTAACATTCGAATGAAAAGCAGAGGAAAAGCTGAAAGTCTAGCTGAGGATTCATAGATAAGAAGTAGTCACATGTTTACAAGGTCACATAATAAATCTCGATAATGCTGATTGTTGATAGATGGTTAGTAGCGCCACACACACACACACCAAGAAAAAGAATAATACCTTGATCGAGAATGTCCAATCCTTGTTGAACACCTTTGACAAATCATAGAAATCATTGATCAATACTGCTTATATATATATGCAGAATAACCACTGTGAAAAAAAATAATGAACTAACAAACGCTTTCGTGATATCTCACATTATCAAGGAACTGTAGAAATAATAGAACAAAGGGCATGTAAGAGCGAGATTACACCTCGTGGTCAACATAAGACGCCTCACCCTACCCTTTACGATGATGTTGGCGAGATGATCAAGGACTTGTCAAGCATAACTTGGATTCTTCCCAAGTTTTATGATTTTAGGTTGTCGAACATTCATAAATGAATCTATTTTGTATAATCCTAAACCAATATTCATAGTAAATTCAAAACTGTTTTTTATAGATGGATAAAAAGGCTTAGAGGAAGAATATTTTTTATTTCTTCCTGAAGCCATTTTAATATTCCACTTCCCCTACCACCCCATCTTTTCATTTTCATTTTACCAGTAAGTATATTTTATTTCATAATATAGTACACAAGATTTAAAAGATACATTGCTGGTGCAAAAACGGCATATACAGTACATGACGTTCGAGGGATACATTTCAAGTGCATATTACTAGGGCGTGTGCCCAGGATACAGCAGGCATTACCCCTCTGAACCGCAACACTGAGTCTCTGAAACAAAAAAATAGCCGCCCTGGTATATCTAGCTATACTCATGAATTTTTTTCCTAGCTCCTTAAGGAACTTATATGCACTCTTTTCCCATGTGTGTGTGCGTGCGTGTGCGTGCGTGCTTTTGCCTTTGTCTCCATGTAAATTATTCCCCCCCAAACACACACGTAAGGAAAATGTTTGTAATTATCACCTATTCTTGAATTTAATTTTACCATTGCGTCAGTAGTGGAGAGTTGCTTCTGCGCATCTCTGTCCTCCCGCTTATAAATCTGCGAGACAGGCTCTTGGGAGTCAGTAGTCTGGTGTTGTTGTTACCAGATAATTCGTGGATATTTTTTTCAGTACCTCAGGTGAGCTATTGTATTATGTGTTTGAGGTTTCTGAGTACAATGGGAATATTTTATTAATTTTAAAATATTTATACACACGTGTTTTCAGAGGACTGAGTAATATAATAATTCGCTATTGGTAGTTATTGTAAGAGGGAGGTGGAGTCTTAAGTATAAAAGTGTCAGTGAGAATATAAAAAGTTAAAATTAATGAAGAGTGAAAGGCATCAGCGATTCTTGGAAGATACGTTGGCTAGAGAAGAAGTCTGTATTAAGTCTGTATTAAGTCTGTGGTGTGAATTTAACAATACCGTGGTAGTGTGTGAGACGCAGAGCACTATGAAGGGACTGTTGTTTGAGATATGGACGTTGTCTGGGAAGTTTGAAGGTTATCTAACAGAAGGAAATGAAAAGTGAACACAGATAATTATCAAGGTGGAAAGAGTTAGAAGATCTATAATAAACATCAGAAAAGGAGGAAAGGAGTATGAAAGAAGTAATTATATTTAAAGACTTACCGGTAGATGTGGCTGTTGATGGCCTATAAAGGTTGATGTATGTTATGTAATAGATTAAAAGACTTTCTTAAAAAAAAAAAAAAGGATTGTTTACTTATACTTACATCTCGAAATTCAGAAAGACGCAGCTTTAAATTAGTCACCACTGTGTTAAAAAGATAGTCAGCAACACATCTGTGTGTAAAATAACGTTTTTGTTAATATTACTGGAAATCTAACAAATAATTTTTTTCTTTAAATTTTTTCTCCATTTTTTTCTTTCCCTGATCTTTATACACACACACATCACACACACACACACATACTCACACTCACTCATACACTCATAATCAGAGTTGTCAGTAAGTGTAATAATCTGGGAAGTGATGTAGTAGAAGTAGGATCCTACATAGTTTTAAGAAGAGGTACGATAAAGCTGATGGAGCAGGAAGAGTGACCTAGTAGCGACCAGTGAAGAGGCGGATCTAGGAGCTGTGACTCGACCCCTGCAACCACAACTAGGTGAGTACAAATAGGTGAGTACACACACATCCTCAGAGAAGAGAATAAACGGACTTCAGGGAAACCTTTAGATTCTCCCCGGAGCTGTTTGAATATTTTCTTTTCCTACCACCTCCCTATATCCTATGTGAACTTCATTTTTAAACTAAATTCATTAACCAACATACAATGGGAAGCATAACATGAAAAACATCTCAGAACCTACATCTCAAGTGCTTCATCCAGCTCCCAGGCGGTGGGCCGCGAGCCCAGAATGCTGCAGGCATTTACCCTCTGGATCCCTTGTCTAGCACAGATAATTTAAAAGCCGTTTTCTCAGGTGAAAAATTGTGTGTGCATGCCAACAAAATTATAATGAATTTTGTGATCTTTAATAAATAATGGCAATGGGGTTTTAGAAAATTTAAACATTGTTATTGATATAATACGGAAAAGGTTATACGAGCAGAGATATATTTTTAAGAATAAATTATTTAAGTATTTGTTGAATCAAACCCATTACAAAAATAAATGCCGTAATAAACATATCATAAAACTTAAGAGGCTAAAAATGGTATTAGATATATACTTAACTAATAGAAATTATTTAAATTGGGCACAAGGTTTATCCATTATGATTCTATTTGACAGCCACTTTAATGGAGAGAAGATCCTCAAACCATCATCTGGGTGCCGCTTACCGTGCCAGAATCGTGTGGATGTGGATATGTGGCCTATCAGCCAAAGATATCTCTCAGGAGATCGGGGTCAGCCTTGGTACAGTGTACAGGTGGATCCGACGGTGGCAGAGGGAAGGCACGGTTGAGAGACGGACCTTCCGTAATGGGTACTTTCTCACCTCTAGGGAAAGCGACACAAGTAGTGCTTCAGACTCTCACACACAGATCGAGATGACTTCTGTTTGTGGCACAGATTACCTTCAGACTTATTATAATCCAACATTAATAAACTTGAAAAGATAACGTTAAGGCTAAGACACCCATCATCACTAAAGGATTCTCTGCCTAATATGACTTAATTGCTTTCATATCTCTGTTAATTGTGTGAGGTTTTGTGAAAAAAATAAACTCGTCGAACATACCTGATAGCTCTCAAAAAATAAAATAATGAAATCATAATAAGAAATGCTTAAAATAGGTTTCCATTACATAAACTCAAGAGTGAAAATAAACTAAAATTAACTAATTTAACTTAACGACAAATCCGCTGATTTATCAATAAGGTTCCATGATGTAACTATTCTGTTTAAATTTACAATTGACTAGAATAAAAGCTTCACTATTTGATAAGTGTATTGATATTTTGTGAACAGAAGGCGCAGAGGTAACCTAATTTTCTCCAAATAGAGTTAAGGAATACAATTTCTTTGTAATGGACGTTTTTTTGACTTCACCAATGCAAATTGGAAAAAAATTGGTCAAATGCACGACGCGAACATACATAAACACACTCAGATATACGCACAAGAATATTCATACGAAAACACTAAAATATAATTATTCTTAGTCATTCGGACTGCACAAAATTCATTCTGTAAATGGAAATTCAACTTCAGTACTCTGAAAATGATAATAAAATTCTTATTGTAAAATTTTCGTTGTTTATTATAACCTCAAGTAAGTGGCACTTACATTAGCTTAATTTTCCTCTTTATATATTTAATAGTAAAATGAATTTTTTTTAAATTTTATATTAGTTATTATAATTTTAATTATAATTATTACTGTATTATTATTGTGTGTGTGTGTGTACTGTAAGCTGGGAAGACTGTAGGTGTGTGGTGTAAGTTTAACCAAGTCTATGTTATGTCGAATGATACACCTTATTGCTGCTCTCTTGTCTTCTTATTCATTACCTTCAAAGTTTGTCTTGTCTTGTCTATTCATTAGGTTTCTTACAAAAATTCGATGCTCTTTACTGGCAGTGAAAAAAGTGAAATAGCAGGATGTCCCAGCTAGGGGCAGTGACTGGGCTGGTAGCACTATTGATGTATACGTGATACATATCTGTCTCGTGGTTGAAGGTTACACTCCAGCTTTCTCCAGGTTAGTTGCCTACACTGGTGCTTTGAATTAAATTTACGAAAAGTTTATAACTGGTTTTCACCCAATTAACGCTGTAAAATGTGCTAAAAAAATTGGACGAATGAGTCAGGAAAATATTATAACAAAACTTCAGTTTCAAGAATGTCTATTTCCAACATTATGTTACGTAGTTTCAGGAAAATACGAGAAGATTTGGAACTCTTACTGGTCTGTTGGGGTTGTACTTGAAGCTGCCTTCCAACCTCGCTGCTCCAGCATCTTCATCCATGACGCCAAAAACTTATCAACTGATTTCATTGTAAGTCTCGTAAATATTCCCCACCATCTTAATATTTTTTTTTTATAATACGTATTAGGTAATTATAGAAAAAAGAACGATAAGAAAATATAATTATTTAGCATAAGAGAAAACTAAAACTAAACGAAGAACATGAAATTTAAACATTTAATTGCCTCACTATAGTAAATGTTTTATTTCTGTAGATATTTGGATAGAGCATTTGGGCTGTCCAGTATATCACATTTGTAAAGGGAAAGGGCGAGAGAATAAGTCACATCATATTTATATTATATATTTCAGAGCTTCGGTCAGGAATGGGCTGCTGGGGCGTAGCACTGTTTGAGGTGACAGTAGACAGCCGGGATGCTAACTTGACTCAGACAGAGATCTCACTCGCGGTTACCAAGGCTCACAGGGTATGTGTGTTATGTTACTACTGAAGCAAATACAGCAAATACATCACTTTCACATTACTGCTGAGGCAGGTATGTCAATCACATTATTAGTGAGGTGGTTACATCTTTCTCGCATTACTACTGAGGCTGTTATGCCATCTTCACATTACTTTTGAGTTGGGTAAGTTACTGTCACTAAGACCAAGGAACGTTTAAGATGTCACCATCGACAGTTGCGGCAAGTGTCTGGCTGCGTGACAGTGGTGGTGGTGAGTGATGACATAACCTTCCTCACAGACTTCGCTGAGTGTTCCCTCAAGGGCCGCCTCCTGGTGTGGTCAACAAGGCTTCTCGCCGTCACCCGCCTGCCCCTCCTGCAGCTACAGCAACTCATGAGGAGTCATTGGACATTCTCCATGATGAATGCTGTGTTCCTGGTTTTGAATGAAAAGTCGAATTTACACAGGTAAATATATTTTCATCAGCATTATAATGCAGAATATCTTTACCTATAATAAATTCATTAGGAAAATTCGATTGTTCTTGAAAATAAAAAAAATGTTAATTCACATGTTTTTTTGTTTTAAAAACTTGTTTACTGTAAGACAGCAGCATCAAAAATAGATACTTCAAAACACAGCTTTTTAAATTTTCTACGCTTATTAAACAATTCTTTATCGAAGGATTTCTTATGGTGGCCAGTTAAGAATGACTATTTTGTTCCTTCTCTATGACTTTGACGTGTTCTTTAGGTCGTTAGCGTATTGGGAAGCTCGTCGTTACTATGCTGTTTAAAGTTCCTTTCAGAGAGCGTTAGTTCTTTGGCTCCAATAACCTGGTATGTTTCCCATCTCCCTCAGTCCCTCCCAACAGCAGAACCAGAACCCGGCGATGAAATACAGAATAAAAGTAAAATAAATCTGCTTTCACATTTCACCAGGAGTTCTCTGCCAAGAAGCACAAGGCAAATAAACTTTTTCCTTCACGATAACAACTCAGACAACGTCCAAAATGACTACCAAATTATCATACTGATCACAAGACTTTATCCTAACTAGGACAATGAATATATGCTATATACAATTATTTAATCCTAATTTAAGTTTCAGCATGTATGTAAACTTGCCGTACAGCGTGTCAGGTGCCAAAATAGTAGAGATTGGAGCATGGAGTAAAGCTCGTGGTCTTCACCTTCTTAATCTTCCCCTCTTCCCTGAAAAATTCAATAAGTATATAAATATACAACATGTAATCTGTATTCTGTAATATGTGAAACATTGTGTCCATGGAGCAAAAGATATATTTGATATAATAATGCTGTCTGTCTTTTACTGTCTCCTACGATTTGCATAACAAAAGCAACCCTTTTTCAGTTTCTACGGCGCCACAGTAAACGTGACAGCCTTGCCATATAAACCTTTCTGGAGTGTAGCAGAGGAGCAGAGTGGTAATAACTCTGGTATCTACAGGTACATTGGCAGCGACGTCATGATGCTGCGTGCCATTGCTGACGTTCTGAACTTTTCCATTAACGTTCTACCTGTAGCCACCTGGGACCAGGTTTGTAACCCCCTGTTACCGGATTTGTAACCATCTTGTTGGATCAGGTATTTAACCATTTGTCACCATTTTTTTTTAAACTATATGGGATTAATCAGAATTGCAGAACGGGATAATAGCCATCTGCGACCAGGTGTGTAATAATCGAAGTATAACCACCCGAATCAAGCCTGAAACTACACAGGACAAAGTTTGTATTAATCTTGAACCTATTTCACAATCATCTAGGGCCACTAATGCAACCACCAAAGACTAGAACTTAAATTATTTGGGTCTCGTTTGTTAACATCTGGGCCAGTTACTATCACTGTAACCCTGACACTTATGTAAACCCTAATTAATAAACAAACATAATATATTATACAAGATTTAAATTGTCAGGTTTATTCCGTCTGTCATTTCAGTTTTGAGCGCTTAGTAAGTGTATAGCTATAGCTATCCCAATATAAAAATATCGTTACTAACTATCACCCTGATATCGGGGGCTAAACACAGCCCATTACTGTGGAGTAGAATCCTTCAGCAAGCCGAAAGCCACCAATTTGCCAACTGCATCTTCCCGTAGCTGCTTGCAAGCCAAATCCTGCACTCTCATTAGCTAAATAAAACTCGCTCAAGCAAGTAATCGCCTGCCCAAGCTCGGCTTTCCATTGCCTTGGCAAGAACTGTGAAAACAGCCGATTATCGGCGTCATCATGGCAATAAAATTTTAATATATTAAGAAGGATTTATCTAAAAGGTAAGTTTAATATTTTTCCATAAAATGCAATACAGCCTATTCATTTATAACGTACGTTAAAAAAAAAAATTTCTCCAGGTCACAAGCTTGGTGATGGAAAGAACTTCCTTCATTGCAGCTGTTACTTACATGGTACTTCCACAACGCTGTCTTCTTTATGATTTTACATATGTCTACATACAGGGGTCGATCTCCTTTGCAATGGCTACACCTTCGTTCATTCCTAACTGGGAAAGTCTTGTCGACCCTCTTACAACTGAGGTGTGGGTGGCAATCTTCGTGGTCCTACTTATGGTGCCTCCCTGTTTGTTTATGGTATGCAACAGTAATTCTGATGCTATGTTTATATTTCACTGTTACCATTCCCTTCACATAGCAGTGAAGTTGGATATCCCGATCTACCTCACTTCTTTAAAATAAGTTAAAATTTAGTTAGTGATTAAATAGTATAACCCAAAAAGGAAACAGTCATCATGTTATTTTAAGAACACAATCTTCTGATTTCAGATCTCCAGACAGGAAGATGGGGCACGATTAAATGACAAATTAACAATAGGAGACTCGGCTGAAATAGCTGTTGGAACGCTGCTTGGACAGGGTACTAAGAAGCAACTACCTGAGAGTAGTTCGAGTCGGTTGTTGTTGGTGATTTGGCTGGTGTTCGCCTTCATCGTGAGCAACGTCTACAGGGGCAACCTGACAGCCGCTCTCACCCTCCCCAAGTACCCACCCAGACCAGAGACACTGGAGCAGCTCGTCAAAGTTGTTGACAAGTAATTATAATCTTTGTGATAATTATAGAAATGCATTTATCTTCACCTGTATTTTTCTTTGTCCCCCAAAACAATGCTTTACTAGAAGAAAGGAGCTCCTTAGTAATGAGCACTTTCCTCTAGTACTTTAGAGTTTATCAGTGATTGCGAATGTTACACAAGAAATAGGAGGACCAGTCAGTGACAAGTATCTCTCACAGGCAATGAATTCTTGTTTACTCAATTTTATGTACAAATGAATAAATATTTGGAATATTCACAAATTTTATTTCAAAAATTTTCGTATTTTCTATGCAGTTCAGGATCTCCATCTTTTTAATAATTTTAAAAATATTTAAATTGTAATTTGCTAATAAAAAATCATTTCAATCACAAAATACTTTTTCTTTTATTTTTCCTCTACAAGTAATTATGCGGCCTACGGAAAAATTTTTCAACTTTTTTAAAAACAGTCAATTCCGAAGGTATCAGACCCTCTCAGATCATAGAATTTGTCCTTTTGCAGCAGTGGATTACGCCAAGGGCGGAGGAGGATAATGCATATATCTTTTATTTTTCTGGCGGCGTATTTTTATTTTTATTTTTATTACTTTTTATTGTGGTTTTTTTTTTTACCTATTCTTTAAACTGTTAAATTATATTAAATTACTATTTAATATTTTTTCATTGTAATTAAAAGGAAATAGTAAAAAAGTCCTTTTTTTGGTAAGGCAAAAAAAAACTTTTTGCGGGCAACGATCTTGCCAGGTATCGCTGACAACTTCACAGGTGGACGGCAGCCCCCACTTTACATGGGCAGAGAGAGCACCCTTTCCGGGGCCAACGTTTTGGCCCAACCTCACGTGCTCCTTCAAGCCTCAGCTCGAAAAATTTAAGATGTATTGTCGAGGTAGATATAAGCTACGAAAAATCTTTTTGAATTAAATAATGAATTAATAGCTTTTGCGTTACGCAAGATAATTATGCAGGTTTTGGAAAAGAACCAGCATCGTGTAGAGCTCATACTGGTTTTCTCATGTTTTAAACTCGCTATTTTTTATTTTTTACAGTGAAAGCGGTTATGAAACCCCCAAGAAATTGGGTTTTGACCTTAAAACGCTTCTGGCCAATCCAGCAGAATAAGCAATAGGCACAAAATAAAATTTAAAGGGCGAGCCAGTCTCCTGTCTCCCACTCGGGGATTTTAACATAAATTAATTTATTCTACTACTGCTCCACTAAAACCTTTAACACTTCTTTTTTTTCCCCTTCTTGGTCCCTTCCCGTCCCCTCGCCTATATACACGACAACCTCCTCACTCTTTTTGTTTGGTGACTTTGAAAAGGGCCCAAGTAAAACCGAAATGATTGTAAGTTCTTTGTCTTTTGGGAAAAATTGTTTTTAATTTAGGTTTTTTCCCCGCTGAACCCCTTTGGGGTTTACTTAAGTTAATTTTTACTTTTTACCATCTTCAAATAAGCCCACCTAATTTTACATAACCCAAAAAATATTGGACATCTAAGGAAAAATGTCAACAATTTGGAATAAACTTAATCCTAATATCCCCCGAAAGCGGTCAAAACCCGACACTGCATGTTTGGGAATCACTGATATACTTATTAAAAATGTCATAAAAAGAGGGAATTTTTGTTTAAATAATTGTGTATATACTCTCTCTTTTCTCTCTCTCCCCTCCCCTCTCTCTCTTCTCCTCTCTCCCCCTCCCCCTCTCTCTTTTCTCTCTCCCCTCTCTTCTCTCCTCTCTCTTCCTCTTTTTTTCTCCTTTCTTTTTTTCCTTTTTTTTCTTTTTTTTTCTTTTCTTTCTTTCTTTCTTTTTCTTTTTTTTTCTTTCTTTCTCTCTCTCCCCTTCCTCTCTCCTTCTCTCTCTCCTCTTGTTTTGTGAGAGGCTTTTTACTGCAGGACTTGTCGGAATAATAACTTTTCCTCATATAGAAAAGAACAGCCCTAGGGGCTGCAGTAAATTTTCAAAATTATGCAAAAGAATAACCACATTTCGTTTTTTTTCAGGGGGATATACGAGAAATGGATCAATGATATGATTCTAAGGCCCAAGACGACAGTCAAAACACAGGTAAAGAGGGAAAAAAGAAACAGAGGCTGCCCAGAGTACTCCAGAGACCAGCGAGAACCAGGCTCGACCCCCCCACATCAAGGCCCCTTAAAAGTCTGCCTTGGCCGTCTTTGTCTTGATTGTGTTTATACAGTTTTTTAATGTAAAATTATGCAAGAAAGGGACTGCAAACAAGTGAAATTTGAAGTTTTTTCATCTGATGGCGGAATAAACTCACAGAACATTCGAATGAAAAGAAAAAGGAAATGCTAAAAGGGCTTAGTTATTTTTTGAGAGAATAGCTACATTGTAAAAATCGCAAAAAAAAGATCGTAATTTTTTGATTGTTAAATTTTTTGGTTAGTAACACAAAACCAGGAAAAAGAAGGTTTTTGACTTTTGTAATTCTAAATTTTAATACCGTATCGGAATATCCAACTTTTGTAACATTTTTGACAAATCACAGAAATATTTATAAAAATCATTACATGTTATAATATATATATATATATATTATATATTTTATATATATAATATTATATTATTTAATAATAATACAACTATATATATTTTATATATAATTATATATATATATATAAATATAATATTATATATAACATATAATATATATATATTCCCCTGGGGACCCCAAGTTACCTTGAATGTTTTTGCCAAGCTTCTTAAGGAACTTACATGCACTTTTTTCCCATAGGCAAAGGGGTTAGGCCTATGGAAGAAAAATATAATGGGTATGTGTGTGTGTATTTATACAATAATTTTGCTTTTGCCTTCATGTGTTAATCATACACACACACACACACCACTTGTTGGAGAAGTGTAGGGGGTCACAAGGCCGGCCCCCGAGTCTTAGTGTTTTTTTAGGGCGTGTTTCAGCATTTAGAAAAACCGTGTTAGTAGTCATTGAACAACCCTAAAGTGAAATAATGTTTTAGCAAAAAAAAAAAAAGAAAAAGGCGAGAAAAAGCTGAAATTATACAAAAAAATTTTAAAAGTGCCATTCTTTTGGGGCCTATTTGGGCACCTGTTGCCACATTGTTACACAAATAAAAAGACAAAGGGGTGATAAAGAGAAAAGACCAAATAAATTAAGAGAGGGTGGAAGAAAAAAATGTGATGTACACCAGCTGAACAAGTACCAAAAAAGGGGGATTATATATTATATATATATATATATATATATATAATATATATATATTATATTAATTTAATATATTATTAATATATATATATATAATTTAATATTTATTATATTTATAAAAGACACAACCACCCGGGGAAGTACTACCGTCCTGCAGATGCTGTGAAACAGAAACCTTTAACTGTTCTGCATGATGGTAGGATTCTGGTTTTTTTTTCTTCTCAAAAACCCGCAGATAACAGGGAACTTGCTCTCCTACTAACACTTGGTCACACTTACAGAACGCACATGCATATATATTACATACTCTTGGTTTTTCTCCTTTTTCAAAATAGTTTTTTGTTCTTTTTTTATTTCTTCTATTGTCCATGGGAAAGGGGAAAAAGAATCTTTCCTCCTAACCATGCGTGTCGTATGGGGCGACTAAAATGCCGGGAGCAATGGGTGAAACCCCCTTCTCCTGTAACACTTACTAAAAAAAGAAGAAAAAACTTTAAAAAAGGGATGTTTAAATGGCGTGGATGTAGTGCGGATGACAAGAAACAGACGATTGCTGAGTTATGAATGAAAAGAAGTTGGATGCCCGGCCCTAAGCGAAACAAAGCGAGGGGGGTGGATTATTTTCAGTGGGGGGAAATAAATGGGATTAAATTTTCTGGAGTATCTGGAGAGTTAGAGCAAAGGAAAGGGGGGTAGCAGTAATTTAAATGATCATTAGGGAAAGGGAGAAAAGAGAATATAATGTGAAAATTTTCAAGAATTATGTGGATTAAAAAAAGGGTTTGGGATGCAGAAGGGGGTCAAAAAGCTGTATGCACTGGAGAAGAGGGGGAATGCAGGGGAGAGAGAGATTTTGGAGATGTTAAGTGAATTATAGGAGCCTTTGAACCAAAGTGAGAGATATTGTGGTGGGGCCCTGAATGCTAAAGTAGGGAAATTTTTTAGAGGGGGTGGTAGGTAATTTTGGGGTGCCAGGTGAAAATGAAAGGGAGCCCTTTGATTGAACTTTGTAAAAAGGGGTTTAGTTATAGGTAATAATATTTAAAAAAAAAGAGGAAAAATAATATACAAGATATGAGTAGGGCGAAATGACAGAAGTTTTTTGGGATTAGTATTGGTAGATAAAAGACGTTGAGTAGACTTGGATTTACATTTTATAGAGGGGCCACAATTATCAGATACTTTATAGTTTAGCTACACGGAGAAAAGGTGGAGGGGATAAAAGGGAATAGAAGCATCGGGAAGAAAGGGGGTTTAAGGTTTATAAACTAAAAGGGGAGGCATTAGGGTAAGAAATAAACAGCTTTTGGAGGATAGAGGGGCAATGAAGCAAAAAGGGGGTCGAAGAGGTAGGGGGTTGGTTTAAAAATGTAGGTTAAGTTTTTCGCAAAGTTGTGGTTACGGGAAAAGTGGGTGGGGGGGGAAAGGGGGAAAAAAAGCGATTGGTGGAAGAGATGTAAAGAGAGTTTAAGGAGAAAAATTTTTAGCATATGAAATTTTTTAACAAAGTAGAAGGATGCAAGGAGGAAATATATGGAAAAAAAGAGAGGGTTTAAGAGAGGGGTGAAGAAAATGTAAAAAGAGAGCAAATGAGAGATGGGTGGATGTTACAACAAATTTTTTTGAAAAAAGAAAAAGTTTTGGGAGTGAGTTTTAAACAATTAAGAAACCAGAGAAAAATGGATTTGTCATTTAAAAAAATAGGAGGGGAAGTTTTAATGGAAAGTTAGAGGTTTTGGGGAAAATGGGGGAATATTTTGAGGAATTGTTAAATGTTTTGAAGATGGGGAAGCTGTGATTTGTTATAGGGCAAGGAGAAAAACATTTGTGGAGTGAGGAAACCAGTTTTTGAGTGTGGGGGAAGTTCGGAGGCAGTAGTAAAATAAAAGGGGGAAAGCAGCCGGGATTGATGGGATAAAGAAAAAATGTTAAAAGCAGGGGGGAATTTAATTTTTTTGGAAAGGGGTTTGGGTGCAATTATTTAAAAATGTAGGGAAGGGGGGTTAAGGTACCTAGGGATTGGCAGAAAAGCTTTCAAGTTCCCCCTTGTATAAAGGGGAAAGGGGATAAAAGGAGTGCAAAAATTATGGGGGAAAGTCTGCTGAGTAACCTGGTAAAGTTATGGAGATTTTATTATTGAAAAAATTAAAGTAAAACGGAGAATAGGATGCAATGAAAAAGGAGGCTTTAGGAAAGGTAGGGGGGGTTGTGGACCGGGTTTTGTTTACAGTGAAACATATAAGTGAACATTTTTTAGAAAAGGGCAAAAGAGGTTTTTGGGGCATTAGGGATTTGGAAAGGCGTATACAGGGTGATGGGGGGGCAATGGGGCAATGTTGAAATGTATGGTGTAGGGGTGGGTTACTGAAAGCATAAGAGTTTCTACGGGGAAGGGGGCTCAATTAGAGAGTAGGAAAGAGGGAAATTTTTCCCCCAGTAAAAGAGCCTTAGAAAGGGATGTGTGATGTCCCCCGGGGTTGTTTAAAATTTTTTTTTAAAAGGGGTTTTTGTAAGAAAGAAAATCAGGGTCTTGACAAGAGGCGGGGAGTTAAAAATAAAGAATCACACACAAAGGGGGGAGTTGTCACAGCTGCTTTTTGCTGATGACACTGTGCTTTTGGGGAGATTCTAAAGAATTGCAGGATTGGTGGATGAATTTGGTGGGGTGTGCAAAAAAAGAAAATTAAAGGTGAAACAGGAAAAGTAAGGTTATGAGGATAAAAAAAAGATTGGTGAGAAGTTTGAATATCAGATTGGAGGGAGAGAGTAGGTGGAGGTGAATGTATTCAATATTTGGGATTTGGCGGCAGGGGAAAGGGGTCTAGAAAGATGGGTGAATATAAAAATTTGATGGGGGGAAAAAAAGAGTGAGTGGTGCACTTAGGAGTCTGTGGAACAAAGAACTTTTCCTTG